AGACTCTAAAAGAAAAAAATAAATATTTACTCAACAATACGCATTGCAATATTAAATATTCTTATTGTAGTAAACTCTGGGCATATTAAGGGAGGTAAGGGAAGACAAGGCTTTTAAAAGAAAAATGAAGAGCAATTACATAAGTTTTTTTAGACAATTATCCTTGGTCACCAAGATCAATAAGAAGGATGGATAGTTTCTGGGCAGAATTCTATGCAAAAATATATATTTTTTGGAGAGTTTTTGCCATAGGGCGCGTGCGCTCACCAGACAGAGAGAGAGAGAGACAGAGAGACAGAAAGCAAGAAATCATTCCTCAGGGGAGATGGCCACACTGCAATCCCTTCTCCATTCTCCTCTCAAGATCTTGGGCATGCATGCACATGCACCTGGTATGAGTTTAAGCCACCGGGTCCGGGACTCGAACTGCGGTCGACTACATGGGAGTCCAGCAGCATAACCATTATGCAAACTGCTGGTCCCCAATTTAAAATTTTTCTATTGAGCACCTTCTAAGAGCAGTGATTTTCATCTAAAATCTCTTAGGTTTTCATCTAAGAGAGAGAAGCCCTACAATGGTCCTGTCTTACTGTCTAAAGAAGTCACACATGCTACAGTGAAAGGAGGGAATTGAAATAGTTTGGCAGAAGAGTTGACCTGGAAGTGGAGGGAGCTAGGGCTAGAGTTCACAGGAAGAGGCCAGTAACAGAACATTCAGGGGAACTGCAGAGTTTATCCCTAAATGTTTAATTGATTGTTGCCAATATCATGTATATGAAGAAACCACTGAAGTCCAAGCAAAGAGCCACAGGGATGAGAGTAGCCAGTACTCACAAAGGTCTGGGAATGGTGCCTGTTCCAAATAGCCAATGGCAAAACTTTACAATGCATGAGGCATTGGTTATCAGTTCATGTAAGAAGGGTCTTGACTTGAAAGTGAGGAAAGGTTAAACTTACACTGAAGTTAACTCTGATCCTACCTAATAAAACTGACATGAAAAACCCAAATGGATAAATGTTTCCTAGATTTTAACTGTTTCAGACAAGAACAAAACAAAACAAAACTCAAGAGCAGAAATACAGAGAAAACAAAACAAACAAACAAAAAAAACCCCAAAAAACCCCAAGAAGGTAACATTACAGTGTTTGATATACTATCACAAATTATCAGGCATACAGAAAAGAAGAAAAAATACAGACTTTAATGTGGAGAAAATCCAATTAATCCAAACTGACACAGAAATGACACAGATGATAGAAGTAGCACAAAAATCATTAATGTATTTCAAGAAGGTAGAGAAAAGATTGAACATGTTGAGACTTAAAACATATAAAAAGAAAGAAATTAAAATTCCAGAGATGAAATCCATCTTTTCTAAGGTGCAAAATACGACTTGTATTGACAGTGATCAGAAGAATAGGTTGATGAACTGAAAGACAAATATAGAACTAGAAACTATCCAAAATAAAACACATAAGAAAAAAACAAAACCAAAAACCGACCATCAGCGGATGGTGAGACAATATTCAGTCACCGCGTGACTCAGTCATTTTGCTCTTGAGTATTTTTCCAATAGAAATAAAAGCTTATGTCTACACATGGACTCGTAAAGAAATTTCATTACAACTTTATTTGTAATAGTCTAAACTGGAACAACCTGAAGTCTGTAAGCAATGACACAGACTGAAAGTACTGAGGTCTATCATGTTGGGATATTGCCAAGCAATAAAAAGGAATGAACTATTGATACACTCAACAGCATGGGTGGATCTAAAAATAGTGATCGCTGAGCAAAAGAAGGCAAACAGTATACACTGGCGATTATTTTTATATACAATTCTAGAAAATGCAAACAAATCTATAGGACAGGAAGCAGATCAATTGAGCAATGCTGTAGGGATAGGCAGAACAGAGGAATTACATAGGTACATGAAGAAATTTGGGGGGGAGGTGATACATATGTTCATTATCTTCATTGTGTAATGGCTTTACAGGTGTGCATAGGTATAAGAATACAGCCAACTTAATTTTTTTTTTTTTTTGAGAGATTTTCACTGTAGGGCGTGTGCACTCGCCAGACAGACAGAGAGAGACATAGAGACAGAAAGCGAGAAATCAACCCCCCAGGGGGGATGGTCATGCCGCAATCCCTTCTCCTCCATTCTCCTCTCGGGATCTTGGGCACGCACGCACACGCGCCCGTCGTGAGTTTTAAGCCACCGGGTCCGGGACACGAACCGCGGTCGACTACGTGGGAGTCCAGCGACATAGCCATTACTCTAACTGCTGGTTCCCCCAACTTAATGTTTTAAATATAACTCAGTATATTTCAATAGCATCACAATAAAGCTGTTAAAAATAAGTAAACGGGGGACCAGCAGTTAATGTAATGGCTATGTCACTGGACTCCCATGTAGTCTACTCCAGTTCAAGTCCCGGACCTGGTGGCTTAAAACTCACGCCGGGCATGTGTGCGTGTGTGCCCAAGATCCCAAGAGGAGAATGGAGGAGAAGGGATTGTGGCGTGGCCATTCTCCCGGGGGGTGATTTCTCGCTTTCTGTCTCTCAGTCTCTCTCTGTCTGTCTGGCGAGCACAAGTGCCCTATAGCAAAAACTTCTCAAAAAAAAAAAAATAAGTAAACAAATACATGGCTTCAACTTTGAATAAAGAAGAGAAATGGTTCAGCTATAGAAGGAAATGCTGGGTTGATGACAGTTGAGTTTTGTTTGTAGGGGGTTTGGGTTTTGCTTTGTTCCATGGGACAAATCCAAGCACATGTATAGGCTGAGAGAATGAGAGAAGGTACAGGGGATTATAAGAAAGAGAAGGCAACTGATGGGACAGGTCCTGAGGGTCAGAATATGCAGAACCTCAGGCCAGATGACTCAAATTGGACTGAAAAGAAAGGGGATACGGATGTAAAGATACATACAGGGCACATCATGCTGTTTTTTATTCTCAGGATACACAGCCCTGAAAATAATTTCTTATTCATGGGTACTAATGATATTATATTCAGCTAGTAATCAGATTTCTGCGGCGCTCCCTTGAAGGGTGGTGTACCTTCTTAGAAGCAATTTCTTCCAAATTTAATATTTTTCTAAGTCTAGGAATTAATTGATATGAAATCTGTGATATGCTCTAAAAATAAATTATTTTGTTGAAAAGTGGGCTATATCTTTATCAAAAGATGGCCATAGGTTAGATGACTTTTTCCTTTTTTACTAAAAGCTCTTTCATGTGAGTACCTCGAGTAACTCTGAGAGTTCTGAAATGTGTCTGTCTCTTGTTTGTGTGATATGGACAGGATTTTTTTCGCTCAAAATGATCATTTGATCACACACACACACACACACAGAGGATTGCTGCTTTACACTAATGATACTTAATTCAATGCTGTCTGACCAGCACAAAACGAAGTATCAGTTTAACAGAATCACCATTTTAGCATTAAGGCAAAGTGTAACTTCCAAATATGTCTTTTTATATAGAATGATTCAAACTTTTGGGAACATTCCTTTGGCCACTTTAAGATCTCAGTCCACTGCATAATACCCTAATCCTATAATAAGAGTTTTTATATCTTTGATATTCAGCAACAGGTTTAACGCCCTGAGCAAATTCATGCTGATAATTTGTAGTTATCATTTTCATCGGAACCACACTCTCAGTCTAAGTTAATTGAAAGTACTTAGGGCTATAGAGGCCAGCAGATCAGAGAGAAATCGCTGCTCTTTTAACTTGCGCAACTACTTTGACCAAAATCTTTCCTTCGACTGTGCTTAAAGGGACCTCTAGACACGGGGAAGGCGGCACTTTTCCGCCAAACCCGGGAAGTGGGTTTCACCGCGGTCCATCTCGGGGGAGTTTGTATGGCCACCCTCTTTCAGGTCCCCACTGAGTCCTCCTCGCTGCCTTTGAGCAAGGACTTGGGTAGAGTTGTTGTAGAAAAAACAGCTGTGGAAAGAGGTTCAAGTCTCCTTGGGTGACCCTCTAGCTGGAACCTCCCGCAGCCGCCTCCGACCTGCTTTAGGGCGGGAGAAAACCTGTGCGCGGAGTTGCCTCCCCGCGAAAGCGCGCAGCTGTGGCTGGCGCCGAGACGCAGCAGGTCCCGGAGCCACTCCACCAAGGAAGGATTCAGGCACCCTGTCCCCCGGCGCCTAATGGGCGCAGGCTACAAAGATGATCTGGGATGCGCGGGTCTCTGGCAGAACTAGACGGGACTTGAAGGGAAGCGGGTCTGGGCACCGCGCTTGGAGTTGGCATGGTCCAGCGCCCTCGAAGCGCTGCCCGACTCGGACTCGCACGGTCCCAGGTCCCTCTCTCCTCCCCTCAGGGGCTGGGGAGGGAGAGAAGGGCGTGGGCGGCTCCCAAAGCCAACCCTCGTGCGTCTGCATCTCCAGCCGCCTCCTCCCCCTTCGCGGGCGGGAAGTGGAGGGTGGGAGTCACCCAGGCGTGATAGCCCAAGGCCCCTCCTGCCGCGGCGGGGGAGCGTCACAAAA